CGACGTTGAGGACGTGTGTGGAATTATCTTTAGAAAATCAAGAAAGGATGACCACACAATGCATCAAGAATAAATCCAATCTAGGTTCTGAAGTATTCAATCAGCATACAGCTGAAAATGAAGACGAAATTTTGCAAATGCTTCCATTGTATATTCCGAATAATATCCATGCTACTTATTTTGGTACATTCACAATCATCAAACACAAACTTGACATAAAATTAAGACTAGAGGGAAGGGATTTGGACTTACGCAAAACTGTTCCGGTAACAATAGCGACAATCAAAAAGCAAGATCGCATGAACACAATCACTACGCCTTCTCAATCGGATTCAATGTCATATCAAGATTTTAGAAGTGAGAGCGATTTGCCTCATGACGGTTCGAATAGTTCGGACTCTATTAACGAAATAAGAAGTTATACTCGGGATGAAGATAATGAGCAAACTCTGCGTCCTGAATATACATACGAGAAAAAACGGCGAAATTCAGAAGTTTCACAAATCTCTTCTAAACCGGGGGTAACTGAGATACAGCAGATACAGCAGTGAATAGCAATTTTCTTAGTTGCAAACGAATTGATCTGATAATGTTTCATAATTAACGCGTATCATATTATTAACGAACTTAATACTTATTGGCATATTTTGTAATTTTATTTTCATCATCTTCATTTCATTATAAATAAACATGCATAAACAAATATAAAAGAAGGTTATATACTGTATACTCGCGCATGAAAAGTGTATCTTGTAATATAAAGCGTTAATGGTTTTCCTACGATCGCATGTGGGCATCTTCCGTTAGTGATATAATAATGACAAAAATTCTCGGAATTTTACTACTAAAAGGGATGCTCAGCAGTATATCGACGAGCAAAAAAGAGTTGACTTCAAGAGTGATAAAATAAATCTATGCATCTTTATCGGTAAAATTTATCATTGGGAGAATGCCGGTAAAACGAAATCTTGCACTGTGTGAATGTAGACTCTAAAATCGAGAAAACACAATTATATATGTTATAAAGGAAAACATATACATGTACACTATAGAATTTTACTTTGTAGGCATATTCTAATGTCTTTTGATCGAAACAATATTATTATTATTCACTAAAAAAAAAGCACGTCACAATGCTACTAAATTAAAAATGAAAAAAAGATTTAACATACTGTATATTGTAATGAATACCGTGATTGGATAATGTTAAATAAAAAAATTTGATTTATAAACAATATTTATAAACTTGCGTATTTTAATACCTAATTTTCTATTTTTTTTTTTTTTTTAAAAAAATCATATATATGTTACTTTATTATAAAAGTATGAGAAATTCAAAATTTCATAACTTTTTTATTCGCGAAATACCCATCATGCAATGAACCCAAAAAATTTTTCTTTTTAGGAAATATCTTTTTTTTTTTTTTTTTTTTTTTTTTTTTTTTTTTTTTTTTTTTTTTATTTCATTTATTTCAGATTACTTTTAAGTTAGCATTTAGTGAAGTGATGTGAACTTACTAACCAATTATACTAACAAATATTTTGATTTCGTAATTTGAACTTTTACAAATAATAATAAAAAACTCTTTTTTTTTATTTGTCATTGATGATTTGATATTCAGCATACAGTACTGTTGTTCAGGGCATGGGACAAATGGACACTACGTTATTTGTGTTCTGAATGTGATCGACATTAACTAACTACTAACAACGATCCCCGAGGAGTATCGCGAGTTCTAACTGGGACAAAACACGTCAAAATAATAAACAGCACACATGTAAGTGTGAAATAATGTGATAGAAAACTATAGCATAATCAAAGAAAAGACCGGGCTAAGTCACGTGACCCGTTTCTTCTTGTCAGATAATGAATTATGTCATATTACAACAAAAACGATAATCATGTAATGGTTTCGTTGTGATCTATTATTTTAGATTTCTTTTTTTTGTTTATTTTATTTTCTTATTTTCAATTATTATGTAATTATTGGACTAATTGTATAAAAAAGAGACACATATCATCAATAAAAAAATAATCTTAAACATTCTTTTTTCGGCTACAATCAATTCCGCCTCACAAAACAAAAACACTTACCATCGTTACGTGAATCTTAGCTTTCATTAGCGACAGACTCGCCGATAACCGTTACAGTACGTACACTTAGCGCACGTATATGATTGCTGAAAATTCGAGTTCTGGAGTATAGTTGAACCAAAGTTAACTTTATTTTTTATTAGATAAAATTTTATAATAAGCTATAAATTAGACCTTTGGAATAAGAATAGTTGGAAGAAGAAACAATGAATGGTCACGTCAATTCCTTTAATTATAATCAATTCACCACACTCAAAGAAATCGGAACGGGAAGTTTGATATTGTAGAATGTGCAGAATGGAAAGTATTTGAAAGAAAGGTTGCATTGAAACGTTTAAAAAATAGTCAACCGCAGTTAGAAAAATTGTCTTTAAAGAAATTCATACGTGGGGTAGAAATTTTATCAGGCACCCGATTTGTCACGCAGATCACGGGGGTAAATTTTTTACTATGAAATTTGTGATTGACATCCATATTACAAGTCTATTTTTAATAGTAAATTGCAACGGTTGCCTACTTTTAATTGCTGATTTCAGGGGTTTCTTAAAAGGAAACCCTATTTAAGGGATGAAGTACACTTGTTTAGAAAGAAAAATTTTACGTTGTTGGCAAGTTTAAAGTAAGATAAGAAACAAATCTGAATAGGATCCGGCCTTCAAAGATCTCTTATTGTTTTACATTTTTATTAATATAAAATACCGTAACAAGGTGTATAATTTGTAGCTATTCTTCCATTAGTACCAACTTATACGGTCAATTCTATGATGAGCTGAGGTTCTTAATAAAAAGGTTAGTGTATGAACTAATTGATTTATTGAACCTTCTTATAACGAACTAATAAAACTTTAAAACTTACATTTGCAGGTTGTAAAAATTAATCATGTTAAATAAATTAGTGGGTTATGATTATGAGGTGGATTGCTAAATTATTTATTCAAAAATGATTTATTGTTATATAGTTTAAGAATAGTTGTGAAATATGCATGGGGTTAAATTATATTTTGTTTATCATTAGAGTTTATAATAAAATAAATAAATCAAATAAATTTACAGCCTTAATTTTTTTTCATGTAAAAGTTACACAACTATCGCATATTAATATCGTGGCCCGAATAATTTATTTAAATATAAAAAAACTATATAAAGCCAGTCTTCAATCTCTTAATCTCAACACAAATATAACTACCACTATAATAATCAAATAGTATACATTCTTAATCAACAAAAAGATTAATTAATAAAAACCAAAAATTATGGAAAACTCTTTAAAAACTCCAATCGACTTCGAAAATGATTCTATGGATGAAGCTTTGATTGATCTTGAAGAAGAAATTTGTAATGATTCTGTAGAAGAAGATTTGAGAAATCTAGCATGGGTTCTGAAGTAGCAGCATCACATGATGAAGCTTTTACATTCAATTGGTATTTGTTGGAAAATCTACAAGAAAAAACCAAATTTATTAAAGAATTGGATGAACTCTCTGAAAGTGATGATAAACCTTTTGATAGTGATAACGAAATAGAAGAATTTGATGAATTTGAAATGCCAATACCTCTCTTTTCTGATGACAATATCAATCATACGTTGTGCTGTCGTTGATAATAATAATAATCCAAGAATAATTCAAAGATGTAATACATGACCAATCTTAATGTAATTCAGTTAACTGGTACATGGGAAATTGATACTCACACTATTCAAGAAGTTGATAATAATTTTTCAAAATTAAAAATTTGTTCTATCCATCTTAACTATGACCAAAAAATTATACATAAAGGCTTGAAATCTATGCTAACATCTAAAGTTGGCATGATAAACTTGCATCGTTGTCTCTTTTGCAATAAATATAAATATGTCTTCATGAGAGATAGAACATGTTCATATCATATACAGTATGGCAAGTAAGTGGATACATAATTCAGGCTCCATGTTGTGGTCTATTCAATTGTCCAGCAATTTCTGAATATGATAAGTTGTCAAAAAATTATATGAGGGTAATAGACCTTGATATACATAGTCAATCCCGTTAATTTGAAGTCATTTGTGCGAGATAAAAACTTCGGTTTAATAGAATCTTCGATTTACATATAATTTTTGTTAATCTGAATTT